GTTCAGCAGCCTTAAGAGGGGATACCAGATATACCAGTTCCCCCACCAGTTACACCTCCTTCAGCTAAGGACTTTGCCAGGGATGACGATGAGGAATAGGCGTATTCCTCACCTCGGGCATTCAGTTGTACCTCTGTGTAGGACTTACTTTTGATGTCTAGTGAAAAGTGGTAGCTACTCTTAATAGAAGTTTTGTGTAGTAGTTTTATATAGATGATGATACTTGTATAGGAAAGGGGAAATGATATGAAGAGTACACTCCCAACAGTTTTGTATCAAAGTTAAGTTATATAAGAAGAAATCAAGCTTATCTAAAAATTAACAGTATATGCTTGTATTAGATTAAAGACTTATATGCGAATTAAAAGCCTATGAGAGTGAAATTATCAAAGAAGTTAGCAAGATAACAAGTATCTTAATTACAATAAGATTTCATACAGTAAATATCAAGTAAGATATTTCATAAAGGGCAAGATAGGAAACTTATATAACCTTTTTCTTAAAATCAGGATCATGGATCAACCATTAGATCAAGCGGCTAGAGAACAACCAGAGGTCAATTTGACCACTCAGATAGTCGAAATGAGGCAACTGTTACAAGCGCAGTAGCAAGAGATGAATGCTCTGCATGAACAGCTAGCATGACAGGCTCATGTACCTCCAGCAAGAGAAGAGCCAGTTCACGAGGATCTACTAGCACCGGAAGATACCTCTGCAGTCAACGGTCAAGATGGTCAAGAAATTCCACCAACACCGATCTCTCCTGTAGCAGTTGAGGAATATAACTACCAACCAATAAATGACGAACGTTGGGTTACAATTCTAGAAAGGTCCCGTCGTATGAAAGCGCCAGAGTTCCATGGCTCTACCAACCCTATAGAGGAATATAACTGGCTGAATGATGTTCAAGTTATCTTGAACCTTATGAGATTGAACGATCAAGAGAAAGTTTTATGTGCCTCTTATATGCAAAAGAAGGAAGTTCGCCGCTGGTGGCAGACAAT